GGATCGAGCTCAGTGACGACGGCGCCGACTGGCACAACAACGATTCCATCTTTGACGACTTTGGCTCCCGGGGACACGCCGGTTCCTACGACGACGCCGCCAAGGACGCCACTCGCAGCAACGTCAGTAGCCCCGACGACGTCAGTGCCGGCGACAATGGCACCGACGACGTTGGTGCCAACACCGGCGCCGACATCAGCAACGCCTACGACACCAGCACCGACGACAGCAGTACCAACGATCATGCCACCTGCGACGCCGTCTCCACCAAGTTCAGCGCAGGCGACAACAGGTGGCATTGTGAGTGTATGCAGGGACGCTGTTTTTTTCGTACCGAGCAATCGAGGGCCAGTTTGTGGCAGTGGCTTGCGCACTCCAAGTGGCGTGAGCACTCCACGTGGCAAGGCATGTCCACGGAAAGGAGACTTCAGCTTTGCTTCGTGCACGCCAACCCTGAAATCGCACAAAAACGGCAAGTGTGTGGCTCCCGAGGATGCATCATGCGTTGTTATCCTCGGTACCACGTGGGGTTGCGTCTTCCCATCTATCGGGTGCTTGTCAATCGCAGCGCCGACCCCGTCGCCAACGCCTACCGATGACGATTCATCCGACGATGACGCCTCCAGTGATATACGACAGCGTTTTTTAGTTGTCAACGCCGCTGCACACGAGCAGGACGAGACGATATTATCGTGGGACGACATGGTGAACACTGGCACGGTGTCCCGACAAGTTTTGCCCGACGTGGCACCCACCTCGGATTCCCGACAAGAAGCCATAGCATCCACGTCCTATATTGTAAGCACTCGCCCGTCGTTGACGCCAAGCCCAGTCGTGGTTGGTTCGCTCAGCCAAGGTGTACCAGAGACGCGCCCGAAAGCGTCTCCATGACCACTCGTGTTGAAATACATGGTGCCATTCATTCCTTGCGTAACCTATATGAATATTTTTCATTTGGCTCAAGTTCCAGAGCTATCAGCGTGATGGCGCCCGGCTCAATGTACTTGAGTCTGCCTCTACCGTGGTACCGGTACTAGTATTGCAATAGGAGCTCTTGATGCCCACAACTACGCGTCCGCGGCGAGTTGTTAATGCAATTGTACTTGAATAGAACGCTTCGTCGCTTCGTCGCTGAACGAGCTGCGGAGCTGACGGTGCGTACACGACACCCGTGCACATTGCATCTTATAAGCCCAACAGAGACTTTGATCTAGGTCATGTTTCTTTTATGCCAACACGAATAGAACGTTGTTCAAGGTTTCATATATGTTGGTCTGATTTCGCTCGCTATGGGCAAAGAGCTGTACAGACTAAGATCAATCGTTGGCCGATCCACGGCACCTGCATGAGCACGTGCTCCGCAGCTTGCAACAAGTACGGCGTCGAAATGCAAGGCTTCGTGCTCCGCGTCGGTTAGTACTTTTAACTTTGTGCGCTACCATGGTTCTCCACCCACTAAAGATCGGGTGCACGATCGTCACGGCCATGATCTTGGTGTCGGCGACCAAACGCCCTTTTTTCTATCTTATAATTTTTATAACATCTAATACCACCTCTTTTCCACACTTCATTCGTGCTTTAAATGCATATTTCATACGATTTCCATCGCCGACCATAATGGGTGTAATGACACGCCAAAATTTGAGCTTTGGCGTCATTTTGGAACTGGCAACGATGGCGAGCAGGTCGGGAGACGCGCGGTACTCGCTCACGACGCCCGTCTTCCTCCTTAAAAACGTCGAAATGCTCGAGCGGTGCCCGACGCACGTCGCT